ATTCATGTGTATGTGCAAAAAGCGAGGAGAGTTCCATGAATTTCACATGGTAATTTTGCTTTGGCTGCGACGGGGTTATCAGAATAACTCTGAATTCTCGAGTAACAGGTATACATCAAACTGATAATAGTAATAAAAACGACAATACAACAATATACCTATTCTGTGTTACTTTAATTTTAACAATTTTATTATTATCGCTATATAAATCAGTAATACATAACGCCCAAGCATAAGACTCCCTTTTCTGAAATATAACTCTACTCGCATTTCGCCCCTTTAATCCACTTAAATTACAATCCACAAAGATAGAAATATTATGCACTCAATTAAATTACGCGGTAAATCGTGACCCTTTTCTAATTATAAATATATCTGAATGTTTAATGAATTCAGAGACGAGAGAATAATAACGAAAACTGTTACATATGACAATTAAAATCATTTTATGATGTACACTACTCAAGAGATAATATATATATCTAAGATTCAGTTCACTAATTATAAACTCCTTACAATTTCTTAGTTTTAATAGTTTAATGTAGAGTACCGACGGTGATCTTGATTTTGATTTTCGAGCATTAATATCGCTTTATTAGGATTTACGTCATAGTAGATATATTACAGTGCAATAGATAATAATGTAAAATTAAAGTAAAATATATTGCCAATAATACTAAATCGATAAGATTGTAAAAATACCAAAAATACCTATTAATGCATACTGTCAGTATTACTATTTTAATACTACTGATCTGTATTATTAACCGTGTAGGTTAATAATACAGTTACCATAATATACCTTAATAGTTACCTTAAAAAAAAAAAAACTAATTCGAAACAACTCTTTATGCAACTTTTTTTTAACGTTATCGAGGATACCTAAAGGCGTTATTATCGTCCATTTCGACGACGTTAAATACAAGTCAAGAAACAAGGGATATAAACGCAAAATAGGGGACAGTCTCAGGGCCCATTTAAACGCGCATACACGCATTCCTATTAGTACGGGCCGTATAAACGGACTCCGAGGCAGGGGGAACGAGGGTTTCGGCCGTTTTGCACAACGGGGTTGGACTAGCTGGCGCCAGGTTTATCTCTCTACCCTATCGTTTCAGCCTATACCGTTATAGAGTGCCGTTATAGCGTGGGTGAGGGAGGAAGGTTCACTGCCTGGTTGTGGCACAGGCGGTACCCTCCGTCTCCTGCAGGAGCATTGTGTCAGGGAAAACAACTCACGATGGCTCCAACGTAGTTTCTCACGAGGTACTATTATTTAGAGCGGATAGAGCAGCTCTACCCCTTCAAGTATACCTTTTGTACGCGCTTAGGTATCCTTGGTAGAAAAAAAGTGAGATTGTTCAGTGAAAAAAGATTAAATCTTTTTGGTTCAACCATTCCGATGTTAAACTTTGTCAATGGGGAAATACCCTCTTCTCTCTTTCTCTTATTTTAACAGCATCATCATTTTGAGACATCGTCAGCTTTGAAAGATTATTGAAGTAAAATCGAATATTTGAAAGAGAAGAGAAAAAGGTAAAAAGAAAAAAAAGGGACCACATTGTCAATACGAGTATTGATAAATTACGGTTGATTCGTACAAATATTCGTTTCTGTTTTCTGAAATTTTCGAATCAAAACCATGGAAACGAAAAAAATATTATATGTAATGATAAATGATACGTAGATATTAATTTCAATTTAAATTTAACCGCGATTTATTTTTTCCGGATAATAATAAACATTTTAAAATTTCCGAATAGTTGTGTACGGATATATATGTATATAGTCTTATAATTATAATTCGTATTAGACCGATGAGAATAAATCAATTAAGAGAAAAAATATATTTTCGATCAAAGCGGATTAATGTTTAAATATTTCGGAGTGAATTTAAACACATATATTTAATTCTACAAACTGCACGTCAAAATCTTTCACGGTTTTGAAGCGTAAATATGAACAGAACTTGTAATATCATATATTAAATTGACAAGCGACCTAATAAATTTTTGATATATTAGTTCGTTAACTTAATATATGATATTACTATTGCAGTTTCATTCATGATTGCATTTCAAAATCGAAAAGAATTTTGGCGCGCCACTTGTAGAATTGTATATGTATATAAATTCTGAAATATTTCATCAAGTATAATTGTAAGATCCACTCTTTAACCGAAAATTATTTATTTCTCTTAATTGACATAATCTTACGATGTTTTATTGTCGCTTTATTGCAACGTTATAAGCAATTTCGCAGAGTTTACCAAATCGTCAAAATGCCAGTGCATCGCACGTGTATATGCACGCAATCAGGAGGCGCCGGTAATTATTATCCCTGTCTGCTCTTTGATATTCTTTTTTTTTTCCAAAAGAGAAAAATCAATCCTATCCACACGCACGCGGGCAGTCGTGGTCGCGGAATGTGGCGTGGTGGTTCGGTTGTTTGTAATTGCAATCTCTGGTTGCGACAGGGGTGGATCCGCGGATTCGGCATGTAAAAAGTGAGCGTTAATCAGCGGAATGCGAGCGGTGCGGATCGCGGCCTGACGTAATTAATACACCGGCGAGCGGCGTATTTGCAGCGCGCATCTATAGACGAACTTTAGGACGCGGAGGAGCGTTAGTTACGCGCTGGGATTGCAGGATGCGGATTACGTAGGGAAACGGGTCGTTAAATGGCCGGGCACAACAATTCGTAGTCTGACGCAACGAATAGAGGATGCCTCCCTTGTCGCCGTTACGACGTTGAACCTTATTATCTCTGTTCGACCCGCGAGAGATTCACAGGGAGATTCGCTAGGCAGGCCGTGTCTGTCGGTTATTACTAGGGATCCGGAGTATTAAAGGCGCTTCGGGGCGACGTATCGATCTTCGGTCGCCCTTTACGTTATACTTAAATACAATATTTCGACCGACGCGTAATCCGCTTACAAAAGTATCCGCGCTCGTTAATGCGCAGAAGCCGACACAACAACCGCCGCGCCGTCCTGTTCCTTATTGTAATCGATTATTTCTACGCACGGATGATTATATACCCGTCCAGAGGGAGAAATCGTATGAGAATGTACACAGTTTGTATGTAACATTTCAGAGAGCGTGTAATCCTCTTGCGCGAGTCGAGTGGCAGTCACTCAACTGTACTAATGATGTATTAATACATATTATATTTATGGTATATATAAATGTTTCGTGTCTGTACAATGCATGCAAAATATCGTTTCCTTTACATTTTGTATATGAAATACAAACGCCATGTATTCAAATAACTTTTTTGAGCCGCGGATTTCTCTGTCAATCCAAACCTGGTTTGTTCACTGCAAAAAACAGAAATACCAATTTTCCAATACTTTCAATAGTTATTTATCCGCGGAGAATATATAATCGGAAATAAAAACAAAGATTTTAAAACAGCAAGAATTCACAATAAGAAAAAAATAAAAGCTTTAAGGATAATCACTCTGATTTATGTGTGCGTAGCAACGATTACATTTGCGACATCATTTTATTTTTTGACATTGGTCGCATTGGTGTCGGATGATGGTACTTCATTAGCAATTAATTCGACACGACCGATCGATTAACAAAACCAATTTAATCGGCACTCCGAGAGCGCGGATGACCAGTTCTATTAATTGGCAGAATAATCGGATCACAAGGGATTGTCGGATAACGGTCTGCTCGCAACGTATTACTTTCGATAATAAGCCCCATTATTATCTGTCAAATCGATATCTTATTGCTAAAATGACTTTAGTTTCAAGCACGTATATATTTTAATTTTTAGATTAGAATTTATAAAATCGTTAGAAAAGAGAGAGAGAGAGAGAGAGAAAGATGATATATCTATATTTTAACAAAAAAAGGATTTGTCTTATTAATTTTTGACTCTACATATGTTTTATTAAAATACATTAAATGAATAACTCGATTGATGCATGTTATATCCGAGAAGATAAATTAAAACGAATGAAATAAAATAAGCAGTAGATAATATTAATATCCGTAATATTAAAAATAGCCGTTCTTATAATAAATCGGCTGATAAGCGATCTCATACACCCTCCTGGGTGATTAATATCGAGTTTAATTGCAGCAAGGAAATTAATTAATTCACAAGGATGAGGCACATTCTACGCGTTGATATTAATCGCCAAGCAAATGATCGATTATTCGGCTCGCGAGTGGTTGGAATTATTTATTGGTAACGAGGATAGTAAAGGTTTCCCCGTGGCGTCGAGCTAGCCTGAAGGGAAATAAATGTATCACAATTATTAATTACTGCAGACGTGGTTGTAAATAATTCCCATTAGATCAGTCGATTGTTTTGAATTGCAAGAATAGCGCATTTCAATGTCTACAATAATGCATTATTGCAGACACGGTATCATCGAAAGGGAATCTAGATTATAGCTACATACGTTGCCAAGTTTAATTAGAGCAATGATCTAACTCGAACTATACATATATATCATCCGACAAGTAATTCGTCCCCAATTGCATCATTACGCTAGCCGTGTAACAAACACATATAGCTATATTTAATTGAGATGCGCGCTAGTTTATATATGGTACATATCGACCGTCTGTTTCATATCACGTTGCTAACGACGAAACTCCAGTCGCGAAATATGAACCCCTTGACAGGGAAAACTAATATCCTTTGTTAGAAATAAATCTACTCGCTTTACACTGACCTGACTAAAAGTTTTCTTCTCACCTAGTAGTTTCACATTGAAATCTATATTAAACCTTACGATCACTCGCTATTTAAAACATCAATTTATTAATGTGCTTCAGGATTCTCGATATTTTTTATTAAGCTAAAAAGCTGCCCTTAGTAGTTCCTTAATATTTTAGAGGATGCAAATCTGACGGGATCTGATAATATGGCGAGGCGAGCTGGAAGGGCAACGGATGGATGGGGTAAGTTCACGCGTCTTTAAGATAGTTCACGCAGAAATGACGAGGGGCTCAACGGACGAGGTAAGAACTTACCGTAGAACCAACACTGCTTCTCGCCGAAGCGGGGTCTCAGAAATGTGTACTGTGGTTGAGGTGGTAGATGGTCCAGAAGCGCAGCCAAACCGGCGACAAGGAAGGGCCCACCCCAGGCATAGCAGGCGTAGACTCTGAGCCTAAGGGTCTCTTGACCTTTTTCCAAGCTCACTGGACGCAAATCCCTGAAAGCAACAAAAAGCGAGGGCTCAGTCAGCGAAGAGCATGGCGATTGCGAAAAGAATACGCGTGGCATTGTGATAAATGCAGGGAAATAAAATATCGAGGCGGGGCCACGAGTATCCGCTCTTTTCTCTATTCCACGTGTCCTCTCGACTATAGCGAATGAATGGAGAACGAAAAAGCCATTCAGGAACGCGTCTGTTTTTTTCTCTTCTGGCCATGACAAAGAAGTAATTATAGCCTCGGGAATAATTATTTCTATCGTAAGGAAGTAGCGGATACAGCGACGTAATAACACAATAGAAATATTTACTATAGATTATCGTTGCTATTAATCGATCTTCTATAGTTATTAAAACGAAACTGCGTGAGAATTTGGCACGTTTGCTCGTAATGTATTAAATCGTAAAGCTTTGTCATTGTCCGGCTAGTTTAATATCGCCGTAATGACACTCGTGGCAGGGAGATGAACGCTAGGGCTTAATACATACGTGAGGGGTTGTTACTCGTAAATCGCACCCTAACGCAAATGTCGATTATCGCAACGAGAAGTTGCAAACAATAGCGAAAAAGTCAAAGGAGAAGACAGTTTAAAATATTATAATAAATTATTTCTGTTAGATTTGATAAATAAAAAACTAGCGATTCAACTGCAAGTAAATTTTTAATAAACTTTTTATCCGTCTCAGAAAATTGAAATCATACTGCAATATATGATATAAAACAATTACACTTATCAATATAAATGACACATTACGTTCCTAATTAAATTGTTCATAACTTCCTCATAAAATTGTAATTCAGAGATTTTTATTAGAAATATACATGTATATGCATTGAAAAACAAGTAAACATGTATCGTATCTTGAACACAATATACATATTAAGTACAAAGATTTAGAAAATATAACATATATCCCGCAATTTTTTCATTCTTCCGGAAGTACTTTTCTGTAGCAAACTCATTTTATAATGTACTCTCCCTTGTTAGCGTAATTCTTTTAATGTAGGTAATTTTATATAATTCGCGTGATTCATGTAGAGAATAAAAATATACTGACATCAGTAAAAGCTTTCTAACTAAGTGACATGAGTTGGTGCAGACAGACATTTTCATTTAAATATTCTCTTTGTATATCCGCTCTCTGAATCAACCCATTATATAAATTTTTACTGAAGTTAATCCGTATATACATTCATTAAAATATGTACGGAGGGGGAGCAGAGAGAAAGAAAAGGGAAAGGGGATGCTGTTGCAATGAGCGTGAAAGTAAAAATTTAAACAATTTTTGAAAACTCTCGGTCACATTTTTGCACGTCAGATAATTCCGTAGTTCACAAATAATGAAGTACCTGTGCACTAATCAACGTTACATATTATTAGATTTTATATTTATTTACATTTATCAAATGTGCATTGTTGTTAGCGTACGGCATTAAATAATAGAGTTTGTAATTACATGAAAAGATATGATAATAATCTCAAATAACATTATAAATATTAATAAAGGTCCGAATGCGTAATTTATAATTATAGTCGTGCGCGCAGTATACATTTTTTTTTTCCCAGAAAGTACAAATTATATATTAAAAATTTACATGTATCTCTCGAGTACCATACATGTTTTATATTCTCAATCTATAAATTCTTCGATAAGTTCAAATTGATCTCTTCTCTCGAACTAAAAAAAATAATCTTACAGAGATTAATTCCACAGAAGCTTAACTTGAGACGCAATTTCGAAGCTATTTAATATTGAAAGGTAAACAGTGAAAAGACGTAGCATCCATTTAAGTTTTTGTTGAGAAAAATCTACCGAGATATGCAGCCATGAGATGAAAGCGGCGTGCGACGACAGTTCTCCCGCGGATACTTCCCTTGATTAAGTTACACAAAGCACCTGTCAGGCAACTATCTCGGAAGTTCGCTTCACTTGACGTTCTTCTCCAGGACGCGTTCCGACACGGTGGAGATGTCCGAGATGCACGAGAGATTTAGCGAGATCATTCCGCTGAGAACGAGAGAGGAATGGCGGATAGATGGGCGCGCGAGTGGATATCTCGAGAGATACTAATTTCGTGGTGCCTACGCCTCATTTCCGGTGTCGCTAATTAGGCGTCACCACCACCGGCATGCGACGCGCTGGTCGTGTACCTCCCCGGCGGTCTCTTTCGTTTCATCTTTCTCTCTTTCATCCTCTTCCTTATCTATCTCGAGCGCGCAAAATAAGAGAGCAACTGAGAGAATCGGAGAGACGGAAAGGAGACGGTAAAACATTCGCGCGCGAGCGACCGCGACGTCTCGCTTCGACGTCGGCACGGCGGCGGCGCGGCGCCACGATAATTCTTCACCCTGACCCCGCTTCCTGGTGGAGATCGAGCCAGAAAGACATTCTACCTCCGGCACGGGATCCGACGTTAAATGTCGTTGCAAGTCGGGAAAATCAGCGGACACCTGCCATTCGCGACACGCGTGAATGCACTCTCGTGCACGTGGCAATGTTTCATCGCTAAATCGAGCATGGGCGAATCTCTTATCGCGAAGACACCAGGGTTCTTACAAATTCCACATCCTGAAATTGCATTTTCCTCCGATTTCTAGACATTTCATAGTTTTCTCTAATGTTTTAATAATGTTTTGAATTTTTTTTTATTTTTATCCTGATTTGAAAACCCTCAGATATTTTATTGAGAGAGCAATTAACGTAGCAATGTAAAGCACTGTTAACATTACCGACATCGTTTCCATTTAATCGTTAAGTTGGTATTTCAAAATTGCGTAGGTATGATGTACACATATTAATTTTTTTTATAGAGCCAAAAATTTTAATTTTCCAGAAAATTGTGCGAAATTTTCCCTGGTTTTCCCGTGATTTCTAGTTGTATGGTAACCCTATTATGAACGCAATTACGCAAAAAACAGTGGCACGACATTTCTCGCGATAAAGGGACGATTCGTCTATATATGCATTTTTTTTTCACAATTTTTATGAGCACGAAGATCGGTCTCATGCTCAAAGATACGCGCTATATATTTGCAATCTAACGTACCCTTTCACAAAAGAGAAAAGCCTCATTTAAACGGAAAACGCTGTACTTTCAGAGATGTGCATTGCGTAATGGTGTCTCGTGCTTGACTGGCGAAAGAGTTGCATGCATAGAGGTTGCAAAGCCGAGATAACGAAGTCGGTTATTAAATAGACGTCAGGTGGCTATTGTTAATCTTTTGATCCTTCGTAACAGCTATTGTGGACTCCACACGAGGATCTTGTTATGAGTTTTTTTTTCCTTCCTTTGGATATTACGTCCTCCTCGTATTGCGGAAGCAGACGACAGCCGAAATATAATAACATTTCCTCTTGCAGGTTATTATATATCGCGCATTGCGGCCACGTATTCAAGATTTATTTTAAAATGACGCTCAGAAGAGAGTTTCACGATATCTAAGAAATAGTAACTCGAAGACATATACGACTTTAATAGCGTAGCCACATAAATCTCGAGCACGCAGTCGTAAATCTAACGTCTCTACAATGTGAATTTCTTCTTTTCTCTGCTCTAAACGCCTAGAGTTTATAGCGCTTTGGTCTGTTTTTGATTCTCAAACAGCTCGGTAGACAAATCACCGCGGAAAATGATATTAAAAGCGTGTGGAATCGAAATATTTATTAAATACATAAATAAGACAGTTTGCCGACAAGTAGATGACTTCGTTAGAATCTTCGCCGCCCGGCTCATGTGTTCGAAGCTCATATTTTCCACTCCCCCGCCGCTATCTTTCCAAGACTTTAAACGGCGCGGATGTAATGTCGGCGCGCTGTCTCGTTGGCTGTAGAAGGTAAGAGCTCGGTATTTATTTCTCCGATATGGTAATTATACGGACGGCAATTAGCGGCAGTGTCGGCCGTTAGAGTGCGACTCGGCGGAGAGCACCGTCTCATGGAGAATAACGTATATAACGAGGAGAGCTCGTTATGTGGAAACGAGATGGACACAAAGATATTATTTATTACGCCGACGTTCTTCACATTAGGAAGCAGCATCGCGGTTTGAGCACTAAGCGCGCATTTTATTAGGGAGAATGTTTGTTAAAGTGTGAATTATATGTACAAAACAGCTTACGCTGACAAGGTGGCATTTAATTGTCACGGAATTTCTGTGGACGAACGTTTCTCCTTCGTTGTTACGTAAAATTGCAGGCGTATTACAATATTTCAAGTACGTAAAATTTATATCGTAACGTAATATAAATGATTCAGGCAACAACTTCAGGCTTTTAAACAAATTTGAAAATGCAAAGTATGAAAAAATTCGGTCTAAATCGAGCAGTAATAAGATGTTTTTATAAAATAAATTTCGAGTTTACGATGTTAGTACAGCATAAAAATAAAAATATATAAAGAATATAATGTAAAAAATAATATAATGATATCGGAACTCGCAAGTCCTTTTTCAGCGATTCTTGAAATTATTACAAAGTCATAGAGACGAATAATCTTACAGTCTAAGGCTACATAGTGTGGTACAATTGTTTCGAAGAATTGATTCTCATGTTTTTAGGTGAATTGTGTAATAAAATGTGTGAAAACAGGAGCATCTTTACATATTCGTCTGATACTGTTGAGCGCAAGTGTTACAAACACTTAAATTTGAAAAATTCTTGTTGCACTGATGTGAGAAAACAAATTCTACACGTAAATTTTAATATTTATTTAAATAGTGCACCAATCACTTACTTACAATAAATATTTATTCAATAAAAAGAAATGATAGTTAAATCAAATTTTATATTTAGTAAGTATTCAGTCGGTACTACTCAAACAAATGATTCACTAAAGTTCAGTCTATTTTTTTTCAGTGTAACAACTCTTTGGGAAAATCTTTAGATAAATCTAAAAATATTTCGAGGTTTATCTGCGTATACAAGCATACAGCGCGCTCGAGCAATTTGCATTACGCCCGCGACTTCTACGTTCATGCGCGAATCCTGTCACAAGCGGGC